CAGCCTCTCAGATTAGTTTGCTTTGTCCTTGAGGTGATGTGTTCTGGAATGTCTCCTGACTTGCAGGTTTTCTGGCACGTTTTCTGAACCTCTTCATAGGCATCTAACTCTTCTTTCCTTGATCCTAGTCATCATCATTGAGCAAGCTCAAGACTTCCGATAGAAATTTATGGCAAGATAGATAGCCAGAAAGTGCATCTAACTTTCACTGGATTAGAGGCCCTAAATTTTCTTCGGTTGGAAGTTTGGAGATTTCTGGCTACCTTGTCTCTCCTCTTAATTCCATTTAACTTGAAAAGCATATTTATTCAGCCCATTTTTTCTTTTGTGTTACTTGACTATTGAAATAATACTTTCAATTAGTCGTGCTTACTAACTATTTCTAGGAATTCTTCCTTTGTCCTAAAAGCTTATTTCTGACCTCATTTTTTCTTATCTAAACTATGCAATTCCTTAGATGTGTGCTTATGTGTAAACTCTGACAGCTGAATCTGAATGTACTTTGTTTGCAGTCCCATCCTCCAGAGGATGAAGATACAGATGTCATGTTAGGGCAGAGGCCAAAAAACCCAATACACAATATCCCCTCTACACTGGACAAGCAGACCAACTGGAGCAAAGCACTACCTCTCCCGACGCCGGAGGAGAAGATGAAACAAGATGCCCAAGTGATTTCTTCTTGCATTATTCCCATCAATGTCACTGGTAGTGTTCTGTTTTTTTCTTAGGGGCAGTTGGGTCATATTCTGCATATTCAATATGTTCAAAACCTGTGCTGCTGGGCCCACCACTTGTTTACCATTTTGTAAACAAGTAATACCTTTTCCATCAAAATACAACCCAGAAGATGTTCAATAGGCTTTTGTGAGATTTTGAACATCAATTTGCATATGTCCTGCTGGGCCGCTTGTTATGTAAATGACAGACACTTTCTTTTTGAAAAAAAAGATCACCAAACCGCTCTTTGGTCATAGCTGACAAACAATGGAGAAAGCAGTAGTGATTAATCATATGATGACGTGTGGTGCAGCAAGAAAGAAAACACCAAAGCCCCAGGTTTCCAAAACTGCCAGCATGGTCCTGTAGACCAACTAGAAAGTCTGTTTTCATGCTTCCTTGGATGAAGGTAGACTTATTTTAAAAGGCCCTGTGGATTTCCATATTGATTTTAGGGGTTTTTGACCTAATATAT